GAGAATGTACATTTTATATTTTCATTATTGATAACATGTAAGTTTACTTACATCTTCGCTTAACCAAATCTGTGGCACATTAATGGTTCACAGATCGACTGATATATATCCGCAACCAATCAATGCATGAGGTTAAATGAATATTGATAAGAAAGCGACACATACGTAAAAACAAATGTACCTCTCTATTGTCATCCACGAATCTAGCCATTCAGTTTTACTTGGCTACGAATCTGCTATGGAAAATGGATCATATTTATCCAAAAACAAACAATAAGCTTTCTTCTATTTGTGTTGTTCACCTTCTTTTCAGTACTTTCTTTGCAAGGTGTTACGCTCACAATCTCGATCGAAGAATCCGTAGAATCAACTTTATCGAAAGGTACTTTTAAATCTTTTTCGGTGTCTGCAAAATACATTTTTCGTCACCATAAATTCACAATACAACTTCAAAACACATATTAATTGTAAGAATTATGTTTAAATTACCGGATCATCACGTTGACCACTTTTCACCTTCATAGCCTTTTGTAAACTCTTTACGTTTTCTTCAAGAGTGCTTAACTTAGCTTGCACGTCAAAAATTTTCGAACTCACTCTTGCAAATCTAGTGTTAACATTCTCACCCAACTTCTTTATACATGAGACAAAATACTCTTCGGATAACACTTGAAGGCATGAGATGACATTTCTTTTCTTCGGATTGAAAGCGTCTTCTCCTTCTGTTTTCCTTTTTGTATTATTGTCTCGTGATTTTTGAACTCCATCTCTTGTTAAAGAGCATGTAAACAAACAAACACAAATAAGTATATAATCGTATGCACAATATTCAAAACAAAAATCAAGCACAAAATTTAGAAAAGATAAAAACAGAGAACAAATGTTTTTTCTTTGAATCTTCAACATAAGTTCAACTTGAGTTGGTAGACAAACAAAACCAAGATCCAATAATTTCATAAGGTCAAATAAAAAATTTTAAACTGATCGAAATCAAAGAACTTTAGTATCTTCTAAAAACAAAAACAAAAAAACCTTCTAAAGTCAACGAGAGAGCAAACGTGAGTACATTAGAAAAACAAAAAAATACCTTGCAGATTGTATTGTATTGAAGTTGGTTGACTTTGCTTCAAAAGCTTCCTCTTTATATCATAAACGTAGATACTACTTTATAATATATTAAATGTTGAAGCTAAATATCATGTATATAAGTAATTTATCTAATTTACAGACACATAGTGGGTACAACCACGTAGGAGGTTTTTAGCAGGATCAAAGGGACCAAAGATAAATGCTTATGAACAAGGATGTACAATCAAGGGGAAGCTTTATTGATCAGAACACTCAAAGGATTACAACAAAGACTCTAATGTTTTTCTCTCACACTTGGCTTGGTTAACAACGCCTTCCCAAGCCTCTATTTATATTACAACCTCTAAGAAATATTACACAGCATATTCCTTTAGATATTCTTTACCTAACTTACACGTGATACTTATGCTATACCTAACACACTCTCACACGTTATTCCTATCTTACATTCACACGTATTCTTATTCTTTAATTTACAACCACACACGTAATACACTTTACTTTATTCCCCCTGTCTTCAAAAGAGATGGAACCCATCTCACGCCGTGTCGTCTTCCTCATCGCCAGAACTATATTCTGTCACGTAGAACTTATGGCCTGGAATGTATCTCTTGACTCTGTTTTTCTGCGTTCTACTCGATATATCGGATGGTCAGGATTAGATCTTGGCCACGCGTATTGATCATGGAAGCCGAGTAGGATTTGTCTTATCTCTTCGACGAAATCTTTCAGATAGATATTCGTGTTGTGCCATCTTGCTGTACAAGGACAAAAAAAACTAGGGTCCAGTTGAGATTCTTCGAGGTAATTGAGTGCTGCCAGCCCACGTGTCCTTGCATGAAAATTGTCTCCATTAAATGCGCTGTCATTGTAGCTTGTCTGGATATGAGCCTCATAAGTCTCTGAGATAATTACTCCATCTTCTGTCTGGACTTGGCTAGTAATTATCTTGAAGTGGCAAAGACTTCAAATCCATGCTGAGCTCAAATATTCTCCTGCCACCATGTCACATCTCTGGACAGAGTGAGCCACTTGTAAAGTTACTTGTAGTGCGGTTTCTTCCTTGTAGTGATGCACTTTGCCAAATACTGGAGCATGTGACACTTGTTGAATAATACTCCAATGGTGTAAAGATCCGACAAATACCAAAATAGGAGATAGGCTTCTTTCGGAAAATTTTCGTAGTGAGTTGGATTCCTAATAGTGGACCAAGGTCTAGGCCATACCTCAAGGGTTGTGAGGAAATGAAATGTCGGATGGTAGGGTATTCCTAATAGTGGACCAAGGTCTAGGCCATACCTATAGATGTAGAGTCTTAGAAACCCGTGAAGGGTTTCCACTCTTCTGGAAACCAAAACAGTGTCTATCATTTTCTCCTGTAGACCTTGTGGCATTGCTGCAATCATGCTTCTCAGAGATTCTTCTGTTGGATGTTCAGGGCTCAGGGTGTAGATCATTGGAATGATTGTTGAAATTTGCTTTTGAGTTCTGGATAAAAAATTCGGAAGGAAGTTATCTTTCCCTTTGATGTGCTTCACATCAAACTTCCATTGTGAAAACCAGCTTGTCCATCTCAATATTTGTGCTTATGGCAAGACCTTCTGCTTGAACTGGATTATCTTTGGAAACGAGGACATGTCCATCTCTATGAGAAAATGTTGACCAACTAGATGAAACTCAAACTTTTCTATTCCCCGTTTAACTGCGAGTATCTCCTTGTATGTTGAATGATAATGCTTCTCACTATCCTTGAAAACACCACTTTTATATCCACAAATGCTTTTTTTTCCCTTTTCATCTTCTTCTAACAGAACAGCTCCCCAGTAATAATCACGCATCAGTTTGTAAGACTCTCTTACCTTTAGATGGAATCTTTAATGCTGGAAGAGTTTTTGAGATTCTCTTAAGTTCTTTTACCGCTTCAGTGCATTTCTGATCCCATGGTGGAGCATTCTTCTTAAGTTGTGCTGAGAGTACTGATCTGGGTTTTGCCAAATCATGAATGAAATTCGCCATGTAATTGACACTTCCAAGGAATTGATGCACTTGCTTGAAAGAGAGATTTTCATCTAGAAATTCGTCAAGCTGAGTTGCAATGTGAGGCTGGAGATGATACTGCCCTTTTGAAATGTGCATACCGAGGAAATCAATTTCAGTTTCTCCAATGGCAATCTTCTTCTCAGAAAGCATGATACCATACTGTTGTATAATATCGTGGAATTTTACCAATAGCTGGGTGTGAGCGTCTATGTCTGAGGA